ATGGCCAGATAGCAGTCAAAGGCCATGGCTGTGAGGATGAAGAGTTCCGTACTGCCAAAGATGAAATGGAGAAATCCTTGGGCCAGGCAGCAGTGGAAACAAATGGTGGTTTTGGTTTCTACAAGTGTCTGTAGCAATTTGGGTACAACAGTTGAGGTATAGCAGATCTCCAGGAAAGCAAGGTTGCTCAGGAAGATATACATCGGGGTCTGAAGTCTTGGCTCAATGGCTACAATGAGGAGGATGAATCCATTCCCAAAGATGGTTAAAAGGTACATGAATAGACCCAGCACAAAGAAGACTCTGTGAAGATCATAGAGAAAAGGAATTCCCAGGAGGATAAATTCAGTCACTCTGGACATATTCCTAGCCCCCATCATTGCAAAATTGTCAATGATTTGTCTTGTGTATGTCTTGAAAGTGACTGTTTTACAATGTCATAACATCTACAAATTTAAATTAAATTGGTAATGCATTTTTTTTAAGGTCACACATCTTTTAATATCAGTCAAATGCCTTAGAAGAAAAATCAAAGAAAGCCCCAGGTATTATGCAAAAAGTCACTATGATTAAGCCAGAATTGAAAAGCAAAGAAAATCAGCAGAGAATCAGGGTGTCCTCTTGAATTGCAAGTGTATACGTTAAGATGAAATGAAGGATTTCATTCTTTTAAAATCTGCTCTCAGGGACATTAGAGGAAAGGGATCAGAGAAGATGGAACCCATTACTGTGTGATTGAAATCCCACCCCTTTTGAACTTTTTTACACATGTAATACACAAAAAGGGGTAGGGAGTTGATCATGTGGTTCCAACTGCTACTTGGTTTTTTTACCCTTCCTCCTTATACCCTTAGCTGACCCCAAGTTTTTATTTCGTTTCGTTTCGTTTCGTTTCGTTTCGTTTCGTTTCGCTTCGCTTCGCTTCGCTTCGCTTCGCTTCGCTTCGTTCTGTTTTGTTTTGTTTTGTTTTTTGTTTGAATGTTAGAATGAGATTTATTATCTCAGGAAACTCATTGTACATCACATGTGTCTTGTAGTCTTACGGGTTAATACTAATGGTTTTATAAAACCACAATAAATCACCATTTCAGTTCCTTTTTAAAAAAGAATTTCAAAGTCTTAGAGAACCAGCATCGATCTGGTTATTTTTCTTAGAGCTGTCTTGAATTCACTGTTCCGGATTGTGTAAATGAAAGGATTTAACATGGGAATGAAACTTGTGCGCACAAGAGATATGACTTTATTGAGTCGGGGATCGCCATGTGTTGAAGGCCTCAAGTACATAAACATGTCTGCTGTGTAGAAGATGATTAGAACGGTGAGGTGGGAGGCACAGGTGAAAAAGGCTTTGGACCGTCCAGTGGCAGAAGAAATTCGAATGATAGCAGCTATAATGTACATGTATGATATCAGGGAAAGACCAAAGGACCCCCACATGAAAGTGGCTCCATAGATGAGACCAATTAGCTCTATCAGATTTGTATTAGCACAGGCCAATTTCAGAAGAGGTCCGACATCACAAAAAAAGTGGTTGATGATGTTGTCTTTGCAATAAGGAAATGTCCATATCACTACAGCCTGAGAAAAGACAATGATGAACCCACAGGTCCAAGCCACCAAAGCTAAGTGAAGGCTGCGTTGATTGGTCATGATAATTTTATAAAGTAAAGGTTTGCAAATGGCCACATAGCGATCAAAAGACATGATTGTGAGTATAAGGAATTCAATTGCTCCCATTGTGAAGACAGTGAAAAATTGTGCCATGCAACATGCAAAGCAGATGGTATTTTTGCCCAAGATGATATTCATCAGCATTTTGGGGACTTCTGCTGATGTAGAGCAGATCTCAGCAATGGAGAAGTTGAGGAGGAAGTAGTACATTGGCATATGGAGCTTGGGTTCTATGATAACAACAAAGATGATTAAACTGTGCCCCAGAAGTGATAGAAGATACATCAGTAGAACTATGGAATAAAACAGCATTGTCAGTCCATGGAATTGTGGAAATCCCACCAGAATAAACTCTCTGATCAAAGTTGCATTGTCCATCTTCTTCTTTCCTGTAATAAAAAGAAGACAATATGTAAGGAGAAAAATATCTGTCTGAATCAAGGAGGGTGGGCAATTTTCCAGTGTTGCATAACTATTTGGTACACAGGATTAATATCTGAAATTTCAGATGGGACTACTTTTTACAAGCTCAAAATATTATCTTTCAATTTCCAAAATATGTTGTAAAAACTGTACTCGTACAATTGGTAATTTGCTTGTTATATTAATTTTAACTAAATAATGAGACCACCTTTACCAACACCATGCCTTTAATAGAATCTGGCAGGTGCTATTGCAAATCTTGGCAACTGTCTCCATCTTCTGTGGGCATCCATCAGATCAAAGAAAATGGAAATAAAATTCTCCAGTCTCCATGTTCTTGGGATTTGCTGTATGTGCAAAATGATAGATGTCTGTAATAACTTTTGGTGGAAAAAAGTCAAAACATCTTCAGCCTGCCCATTAAGAAATCATGCATACCTTCCAAGGGTCTAAAGACTTGGGAGGTTTTAGTGTTACAAGAGAAAAGGATGTTTATTGACCACCTCAACCATCAAACCACTTCTCTATTGGGACTAGATATCAGGGGCATTGAAATTGAGTTCCAAGTAGCTTAGCTGTTCAACTTAGCTTCTAGTATCAAATTTCTTGGTCTCATCCTGCTGTTGTAAGTATCAGAGAAAGAATGGAGAGAGAGAAGAGAGGAGAGGAGAAGAGAGGAGAATGTGATTGGAGGAGCAGAGGAGAAGATCAAATCATAAGGCTGTGCAGTGCTGCAGTCCCAAAAATGACAAGGTGGTTTGGAGCATCTTTTGCGGCTCTGAATGTTGTTCTTGCTTCCCTTGACTCAAAGCAGCTGTTTCCTTTTCTGGGATCATGGCATTGCCCTTTCCAACTCCCATGTGATCCCAGGAAAAGATCTACTTGATTGAATGAGTGACAGAGAGAGGTTTCCTTTGTTTTGAGCTCCAAATTTAAGCAGTGCTGAAAGATTAGTCTGCTCAAATCTTTAACAGGTTGAAGATAGAAACCCATGTTGATGAACAAGAATGAGGCACCCCCCAAATTTATTTATTTTATTTATTTATATTTTAAGTTTAGATACTGCCCATCTCCCGAAAAAGTGATTGATTAATTCATCTCACGAAAAATTGCTAACGTTCATAAAGATGCTTATAGAAATAAGAAAATGATAGAAATTGGAAACTTGAGGGCAAGTTAGAAAAGCGGTGCAAAAGTTAAGCTTGTTGAAGGTAACCCCAAATATATCATAGGATAAGACAAAAGGCTAGTAGACAGGGAACATGAAATGGGAAGCTTTGCTTGGAATCAATGCTAGTAGACAGCAGCTACTGTCGCAATATGGTAAATATAGATTAGTAGAGGCATTAGAAATGTTTATATAATCTTAAATATGTCAAATATTGCTGATCATTGTAAAATATTATATAAGAAATAGCAGAAACAGCAGTTAGAGATCATCATCTAAGGGAAAGGTCAAACCATGACCACAGTGAGTTAGGTTTGTGGTCAAAGAACTATAAAGGACCACTGAAAAACAGGGTGGTTACACCAGCTTTGAGAGAGATCTTGTGCCCTTTCTCTGCATAGAATAAAGTTTCACTTCAATCTCCACCTCAGTGTATTTCTTTGGGTGTTTAGCACACCATGACCAAACCCAGATTTGGGCTGGGACAACAATGTTAAGTTTTCAAAGAGTAACTACTTCCCCTAGCTTTACAAGGATGTTCTTAAAGGAGGACAAGTGTGGAAACATGCTCTCCACTCCCTTTATTGATCTGTGGTGCTACATGCATGAAATATACCTAGCTAAAACATTTGCCAGCCAATTCAATTAGGCTCCTCAGAAGATGGAGGATGTGGGATTCTAGTGCACGTATACACATAAGCTCAACAGGAGAAAGAACACTCCGAATTCAGCATTTCGGATTTTCAAAATAATATTTAGTAGCTGCAAACAATGCATGCTAATTGACTGACCCTTCAATTTTGGTTCATTCTAAAGTTATGAATTGAAGATGTCTTATGTAAAGGTGTTACTTTTAACACACTAGAGAGGAGGGAGATTTGAATAGCTCTATGTTAATGATAGTGTATTTTTGGAATAGATGAAGAGAGATCTATTTAAGTTCTATCCAGGTCCTAGTCCATATTTAGATACAAAAGCTCAGTTGATGATTTGAGGCCTATCAAGGTGGTTGTTGAGGGAAAAAGTGGAAGGAAGGAGATATGGAAAAATGTATATTGCGTTGGGTTTCTGAACAAAAAAGTAGAATACAAACTAGATAAATAACTAGATGGATTTACCTGATGTCTATCAGATCTATGAGTTTTCATGATAAACTTCAAAAAAAGTGTAAAATATTTTTCCTGCTTTTTCTGATCTTCACCCAGTTTACAAATTCTTCATGACAACAAGGTTGTGAATGAGGTCATATTAATTACCATCATGAGGACAGATCCAATAAGCTCATTGCTTAAGCAGGAGGCAACCTCTCCTCCACTGCTTGAGCACAAAGAGCTTCTAGATACAATATGGGAGAAGGTGGCAACCTTTTGCTTCCTACAGTTCTCACTCTGAAATGCCCCAGGCCAGTGACAGATGGCGTCTCTAGGAAGAAGAATTAATTAGTTGCTTTTCTTAGAAGCTAGGGATGCAAAATTCAAGGCTGCTGGGCCCTCAGTGGTCCTCGATAAATCTTGTATGTACCCTTTAAACCTTCTGAAAACTCCCATTCTCAACATTATAATCCAAGAGAAAAGAAACTTTTCATTACCTTCACAGGAATTTTACTTCACTGTGCTGAACTTACCTCAAATAAATCAGAGTTAGTTTTGGCTCTACCCAATCCATATCTTTGTATCAACATATCCATGACTGGAGCTTGGCTCCTGGCATGCCTTTCAAGACCATATGGAGTCCCAAAACTTGGTTTGCCTTCTGGCTATCATTTTAAGAGTATTACCTACATTCTACAATATCTATATATCATATCATATCATATCATATCATATCATATCACGTAATATCCTATCTATCTATCTATCTATCTATCTATCTATCTATCTATCTATCTATCTAT